CACACACACACACACACACGCGCGCGTACAGCAGAGAAGGGTTGGAGTCGATAAATACTACGGGAGTAACGAACCGTGAGGTCCTTATCTCTGTTAACACACACACACATTCACACACACAAACACATAAACACATAAAGAGGTGTAAATCCGACCGTGCAACCTCCATCTTGGGTAATGCTAATGCCGGCGGTACCGTAACTTTCAACCCTCATAACTCGAAAAGTACTGATTAAAAAAACGTTTCATTATAGCGTTTTGGAAAGCTCTCGAGATAAGTTACAAGAATATGCATTGAAAAGTGGGGATTTCCATTTAAGAAATTAAAGGTGACCTTCACGTGATCTTCAAACGACTATCCAAGGTCAAACCAATGACACCATCTTATGTGCCCCTCGAAGTCACAAAACTTTTGTCTGAAACATTTTTCTTTAAAATGTCGCGTTTACGAAAAAATCGGGTGAGACGGGTGGTCTGGGACACCTTGTATACGAGGGCGATCCGATAAGTACTTAGCTTCACCGCCCGATAGCGCCACTATCGCAAGAGAGATTTACTATCGTGTAGTACATTCTCGTAGATGGCTACTGTCAAAATTTCAGCCGAATCGGACTCATAGTTTTGTTTTGACCGCGTGTGGAAGCGTGTCCGCGGATTTTAGAAAAATGGAAAAAGAGCAATATCAGTCGGTGATTCGATTCTTGTTTTTGGAAGGGAAATCGCGCAGCGAAATCAAAGAGCGCTTGGATGTTGTGTACGATGAATCTTCTCTTTCTATGGCGACCGTCAAAAATTGGTTTAACGAGTTTCAACGTGGTCGCACGTCGGTTTTTGATGAGCCACACCCAGGTGTCCCGAAAATGGCTACCACAGAGGATAACGTGACAAAAATCCACGATCTCGTATTGGCAGACCGCCGATTGAACGTGCGCGAGATAGCTGAAACAGTATCTCAAAAGACCGCGTAGGTCATATCCTGCATGAAATTTTGGGCAGGAGAAAGCTGTCGGCGCGATGGGTGCCGCGTTTGCTCACTCCGGACAAGCGCAACCGTGAGACCACTTCAGAACAGTGTTTGACGCTGTTTAAGCGCAATCCGAAGGAGTTTCTGCGTCGTTTCGTGACCGTCGACGAAACATGGATCC